GGCTTGGCCGACCGCCGCACCGGCCTCGCGCAGCAGCCGGACGATGTCGAGGTGGCCCTGCTGGCACGCGATGAGCAGCGGCGTGGCGCCGTTGTTCCAGGCTTGGTCGACCGCTGCGCTGGCCTTGAGAAGCAGCCGGACGCACTCGAGGTGGCCGTTCTGGCACGCGATGCACAGCGGCGTGGCGCCTCTGGCGTTGGCTTGGTTGACCGCCGCTCTGGCCTCGAGGAGCAGCGCGGCGATCTCGGGGTAGTCCTCCTGGCACGCGATGAACAGCGCGGAAGCGCCGCCGCCAGTCGTCGCCCCGACGCTCGCGCCGGCTTCGAGCAGCAGCCGCACCGCCTCGGCTTGCCCGTGCCGAGTGGCCCAGGTGAGCAGCGTGTCCTGCTTCTCGGTGTCGAGCCGCGCGTCGAGCTGGGCCGTGAGCGACGTGCCGCGCGTCTGCCGTCCGGAGAGGAGGGCCAGCAGCGAGCCAAGGTTGCCCACCGCCAGATCGGTCAACATGGCTGGGCTGCCGCCGCCGCTCATTCCGCCAGAAAGAAGAAATAAGCCACGTTCTCGACACGGATCTTGCCACAAAGGACGCGAGGCAGCCCGGAGAGATTCGTGCCGGCAGCAGACAGGGTGAGACAACGACGGGATGCGATCCGAGAAGCCGAGAGGGATCAAGAGGCCACGGTGGCGGGCGAGAAGGCGGTCCTGGCGGAACTTAGGGCGATCGGTCTGTCGGTCGCGGACAGCACCGGCGTACTCAGGCCAGTACAGGCACGAGAGGTGCGGGGCTTGGCTAAACGACTGGTCGGCTCGACAGATCTTCTTGGACAGGTTTTCCGGTGGGAGGGGGAGGACTACCTCGTCAACGAAGATCCCTCGCTTGTTTTGGCCCATGCGCATGCTCTTCCTCGTGCTCGTCGCGCGCTCGGGAGCCGGAGTGGCGGGGTCGGAGCTGCTGCAACGGCGCGAGTGGCCGCGAGGGGTCGTGCTGGGGCTCGCCAGAGAACGAGGCCACGGCGCGGCGCTCGCGGCGGCGCACGGGGCAGCTTTGAGCAGTGCAGCGCCTCAACATCAGCTTCAAGCAGTGCAGCGCAACGCCAGTGGCCTCTCTGGAGCTGTGCGGCGGCTGGCGGGCCTGTGCGACGGCGCCGATCCGTGGGCTCGGGACGCGCAGTCGGCTCGCGTGCCGGTTGCCGAGTCAGCCTGGCTGGCGAGAAGCGCCAAGGCCTTCCCTGCATTCTGGGCGCTGCCCAGAAGTGCGCAGTGCCTTTGCTGCGCCGACGGGCGGCCTCGATGCGGATCGCCGCGAGTGGCGTGGGAGCCTCCAGTGGCACGGTCGTTGGTCAACACCGCGGCGCGCGCGCGCCGCGAGTGCTGCACAACAAGCGGAGGGCATGGGCGGGCGCTCTATCGCTTTCCGGAGCCTCTTCCTATCTCTCTTCGCAGTCTCTCGCCGCTTCTCGCTGCAGCCTTCATGCCACCTCGCGGTCGTCCCACTCTCGTCGTTCTCTCCCTTGTCATTTCCTCCTCTGTCGCGTCGTTCTCTTCTGTCTCGCCCTGAGTTCGGCGAGGGTTGCACTTGGAGCACTTGGAGTGCAGTCCGCCACCGTTAAAGTGGGTCAGGCACGTCGTTGAAAGGCCGTCCTCGCGTAGTATGCCCGCCACGTCACCGGCGCCGGGCACGCTGAAGTCGACGACGGTGGAGTCGGCCGAGATAGTGAGGACGAAGACCGCATCCTCGTTCACGTCAAGTGACGCCGCCACGTCTCGTCGGAAGGCGGTGGCAAACGCGTCGCGCGAGGTGGCGGTGACCTCGTGGGCGAGGCTCAATGTCACAGTCGCCTCGCTCGCTGGCGCCGGGATCTTTGGTGCCGCTTCTCGGTCGCAGGCCCTCCCCAGGTCGGCCATCAAGGCCTGGAGCTGAGCGAAGGTGCCTGCGTAGATCCCGTCCGTGAGGCCGTATTTCACCTTCCACATCCGGTGCTCCACCAATGGCTCGAGAATGCCGTTATCTGGCGACGCCAGATCCGGTAGGGCCTGTCGCCCCCATTCCAGCAGGTCGGCGATGGCGTCGCACATTAGCAGCCCGAGCGACGGCGCCGACCTCTCCGAGCTCGCCGGGTTCGCGATGACGCCCGCCAGCATGGGTTGGAGCACCGGTGCCAGCCCGAAGATGACGTCGCGCACCAGCTCCTCCTCGCCCGTGGGGAGGTCCAGGGTGGGCGCGATTGCCACCGCTAGTCTGGCGCATCGCAGCAGGACAGACGCCTCACCGGACCATCTCCCCTCCTTTAGGTCGACGAGGATCTGC